ATGAAACAACAAAACAACACAACCCCTTACAACAACAAAACAATACACTCGAAGCATACAGCAATAAAACAAGACAATCCCATGCAACAACGAAACAACAAAACAATACACTTGGACCATACAACAACGAGACAACGAAACAACAATACAACAGCAACCCCATACAACACAATACACTTGGACATACAACAACGAGACAACGAAACAATACACTTGGACATACAACAACGAGACAATGAAACAATACACTTGGACATACAACGAGACAACGAAACAACACACTTGGAACATACAACAACGAGACAATGAAACAATACACTTGGACATACAACGAGACAACGAAACAACACACTTGGAACATACAACAACGAGACAATGAAACAATACACTTGGACATACAACGAGACAACGAAACAACACACTTGGACCATACAACAACGAGACAACGAAACAATACACTTGGACCATACAACAACGAGACAATACACTTGGACATACAACAACGAGACAATGAAACAATACACTTGGACCATACAACGAGACAACGAAACAACACACTTGGACCATACAACAACGAGACAACGAAACAATACACTTGGACCATACAACAACGAGACAATACACTTGGACATACAACAACGAGACAATGAAACAATACACTTGGACATACAACGAGACAACGAAACAACACACTTGGACCATACAACAACGAGACAACGAAACAATACACTTGGACCATACAACAACGAGACAATACACTTGGACATACAACAACGAGACAATGAAACAATACACTTGGACATACAACGAGACAACGAGACAACGAAACAACACACTTGGACCATACAACAACGAGACAATGAAACAATACACTTGGACATACAACGAGACAACGAAACAACACACTTGGACCATACAACAACGAGACAACGAAACAATACACTTGGACCATACAACAACGAGACAATACACTTGGACATACAACAACGAGACAATGAAACAATACACTTGGACCATACAACGAGACAACGAAACAACACACTTGGACCATACAACAACGAGACAATACACTTGGACATACAACAACGAGACAATGAAACAATACACTTGAACATACGAGACAACGAAACAATACACTTGGACCATACAACAACGAGACAACGAAACAATACACTTGGACCATACAACAACGAGACAACGAAACAGTACACTTGAACATACGAGACAACGAAACAACACACTTGGACCATACAACAACGAGACAACGAAACAGTACACTTGGACCATACAACGACGAGACAACGAAACAATACACTTGGACCACACAACAACGAGACAACGAAACAATACACTTGGACCATACAACAACGAGGCAGCGAAACAATACACTTGAACATACAACGAGGCAGCGAAACAATACACTTGGACCATACAACAACAAGACAACGAAACAATACAACCCCATACAACAACGAAACAATACACTTGGACCATACAACAACGAGACAACGAAACAATACACTTGGACCATACAACAACGAGACACCGAAACAATACACTTGGACCATACAACAACGAGACAGCGAAACAATACACTTGAACCATACAACAACAAAACAATACAATCCCATACAACAACGAAACAGTACTCTCAAAAGCATACAACAAACAATACAATCCCACACAACAACGAAACAATACAATCCCATACAACAAAACAACAACGAAACAATACAATCCCATACAACAACGAAACAATCCAATCCCATACAACTAAACAACAACGAAACAATACAATCCCATACAACAAAAAAACAACGAAACAATACAATCCCATACAACTAAACAACAACGAAACAATACAATCCCATACAACAAAACAACAACGAAACAATACAATCCCATACACCAACGAAACAATACAATTCCATACAACAACGAAACAATACAATCCCGTACAACAACGAAACAATACAATCCCATACAACAAAACAACAACGAAACAATACAATCCCATACACCAACGAAACAATACAATCCCATACAACAACGAAACAATACAATCCCATACAACAACGAAACAATACAATCCCATACAACAACGAAACAATACAATCCCATACACCAACGAAACAATACAATCCCATACAACAACGAAACAATACAATCCCATACAACAAAACAACAACGAAACAATACAATCACATACAACAACGAAACAATACAATCCCATACAACTAAACAACAACGAAACAATACAATCCCATACAACAAAACAACAACGAAACAATACAATCCCATACAACAAAACAACAACGAAACAATACAATCCCATACAACAAAACAACAACGAAACAATACAATCCCATACAACAAAACAACAACGAAACAATACAATCACATACAACAACGAAACAATACAATCCCATACAACTAAACAACAACGAAACAATACAATCCCATACAACAAAACAACAACGAA